TGCTTCGGTGCTCTCCGCGGAATCTGTCGGCAGGAGCGGACCAGAAGAGGATCGGGAATGAGAAGGGTCGGGAATGGGGCTCAGGAAGGAGGATCGGGGGAGAGCTCACCAGCCTCGACCGGGGGGAGGAGGATCGGGGGAGAGGGAGCGGACTGGCGGACCGGGAGGAAGCAGGGCGCAGCATAGAACGAAGAATCACACGAAGACGAGACCAACCAAGCCTGAATAAGTATTGAGGGCCGGGCGCGCTCCAAGACGGTCCAAAGGGCCCCCAGGAGGCCCCCAAGAGGCCCCAAGAGGCCAGTAAGAGGCCCCCAGGAAGCCCCAAGACCCCAAAAACGGCTTCCAGGATGCCCCCAAGACGCTCGTAAGAGTCCCCAGAACTGCCCTCCAGAAGTCCCCCAGAGCGCCCCGAAGAGACCTTCAGAAGCATCCCTGAGGACTCTGACCCACAACCTAGTCATGTCGGTGAACAGTAGAAGCCAGAAACCCCACGACAAGCTCCAAAGCAACTACTTCACCTCCATGCCTGCTGTCGCCACGCCTCCAGAAAAAAAACACCGCCAAGCAGCGCCGCATGGGCCACGAACGCGCTGGCAAGCGCCAGCGATAGCACAAGACGGGCCGGCGGAATGAGCGAAGCCATAGAACAAATACGGAGGGCCCGGCGCGGTCGAACACCAGCGCCTCGAGGAGGATCGGGAGGAGAAGGAGGATCAGGAGGATCGGAGGGAAGGGGGGCCATGAGCTCGGGGCCACCATCCTCGAGCTTCTGGCAGCAGGGGCTGCCAAGGCTGCCTCTGGCCCGAAGCGCCCTCAGCGTTTCGCCCCGTTGCTGAGCCTCCAGCCCCTCTGGAACTCGCGAGGCGTGCTTGGTAGTCCCCAAACGTGGTGGTGACAACACCTGGCGGTGAGTCTCGGGCGATTTGGTGTCACCACCCGGTTTGGGGACTCATGCGGTTCTCCGAGGATGTCCCGAACACTGGTGGGTCCAGGAGTCACAAAACCCGGTGGTGACCCCGTGTCCCCAAACCCAGCGGTGACCTTTTGGGGGATTCCAGGTCGCCACCTGGTATCTCACCACCCGGTGTGGGGGTTCCCAGGCTCTGGAGGCCATCTATCTGGGCCTCCAGGGAGGTCCTGGGAGCACCCTGGGCCAGGGCCACCTCTGGCAACACCGGGTCGCCCCGGCACTCCGGGCTGACGGGCCCCAGGGCGACGACAGTCCTGGGGAGGCGCCCTGCGAAGCGGAGGGAATCCTTCAGGTCGGCACCGAGATGCCAAAGGTTTAGGGGGCCACATGCGAACCCTACCCCTACCCCCCACGATGTTTGAGGGGGAGGGTGGGGTTCACTTCGCTCGTGACCTCCCGAACGAAGTGAACCCCACCCTCCCCCTCAGAAATCGTGGGGGGTAGGGGTAGGGTTCGCATGTGGCCCCCTAAAGGTTGGGCGGGTGCAGATGAGGATCTGTGGGAGGGGCAAGACCAGCCAGCATCGCATCGGGAAATCGGATCGGATCGAAACGTGCGTCGGATCGGGCGGACTGCTTCGGCTCGGAGCTGGGATCAGATCGGACTGGCCGCGCCAGCACAACAGCCGTGCCAAAATCGGAACATCGGACCGACGGCAATATCTGAACCGAATCGAATCGGGACCGACGAAACCGATATCGAATCGGATCGACCGGATCGAAGTGGACCCTGGAGGTATGGTGGTGGTGGTCACTGCACGAGGGTAACAACTCCCGAACAGAGAGGCACGCACCACGGCGACGACGCCGACGACGACGACGACGGAGACGAAGGGCGATCACGACCTGGACCGAAGTACGGATCTGGAACCGACGCCCAGGCACCCCAGCGGGCGGTGGATACCCCAGGGGGCCCGATTATACAGTCGGACCTAGGCCGGAAGAACATCCCTCAAGAACCTGAGACCCTCCGCCAGCCAAAACAAGCAGAACGTCCAAGGGTGCTCCCGCCAGGATGCACAAGAGCACCCAACAAGCACGAAGAACACTGCGGCACACTCCCCGAACCTACCTCGACCTTCCGCCTTGGTCCGACCGTATCCACATCCACCGCCTGCCCAGGTCCCCAAAGAGGGATCCCCCAGGCGGTGGCGCATCGATAGCTCCCCGCGTCGGCTCCGGGGCCCCCGGAGGAACACCCGCCGCGGGCCTCGCGAAGCACGGCCCGAGTCCCAGCCGTCGGCGCGGAGAGAAGATTGGGGCTCCATACCGAGCCGCATCGGCGATGCATCGTCGATGCGGCGCGATCCTTCGACCCCGTCTGCTCGGACCCCAGCGGGGAGGCCCGCGTAGAGGAAAACAAGCAAGGGGCCGCCCCCCTGCCCCTGAAGCTCAAGATTGGCATGTGCGGGAACGACGGCGGTCGAAGTGCAAATACCGCCAACTCTGCTCTTTGGAGGGAGGGGGGGGCATTGACATATGAAATTGGCATGAATGTTCGCTAGTTGTTTTCGAAGCTTGCTGTTTCAATGCGCGGTCCCAGGACGCCCCGACCCCTTCCCCAGAGATGCTGACCCCAAAAAAACAACGCCGTTGAAATAAGGAGAACACACGCCAGCCCAAAAAAGATGCGCACAATAATGCTGTGGACGACTCGTGGCGGACCCCCCTGCACAGGAGCGACGGCGCTCGGACGGCGCTGAGTTGGGATAGCTGGGTGAGCTAGCAGACCTGAGAGGAGCCACTGTATAATTTTTCGAATCTCTTCAAACGAAGCCACACCAACTGACGTCCTGGTATTCAGAAACAGGCGACTCCCGTGGCAATTGGTTGGCTGCAGCAGCTGGCACTCCAGGGTCCCAAGGTTCGCACAGGCCTCGGCCCGTCGCAAGGACGGGCGTCCGAGAACTGCTGCTGGAGGTGAGACCAGGCCACCTGAGGGCGACTGGGTGAAAATCTACTGGTATACACGCCCACAGGCTGATGGGCTCACATCTGGAAAAAAAGGGCTTGCCGCTTCAACTGGTTCGGTTGCGCATCTCCAGCACCAGACGGTTCCCCCGGCATTGGTGGGCCGCACCGGAGAATGAAAAAGGCGAAGGAAGATTAACGCTTCCTGGAAGGGCACAGGAGTCCCGGCGGGCCAAGCAGGCGTAACACGACGAGGATGAAGGGCAGGAGGAGCAACAGCAGCAGCAGCAAGGTAGAAGCCTCCCACGTGGGATCTGCGTAAATGGGGTCGGAGGATCGCGCCGCATCGGCAACGGTGGCGATGCATTGGCGCCGTCGGCATAGATAAAATCGGGCTCCACATCAACCCGCATCTGCGATGCATCGGCGATGCGGCGCGATCCTCCCAACTCAAAAACTACTCATTCGGACCCAAATTGGTGGCCTGCGCCGAGGTCAGAAACCAGGAGGACACGCAGGTCCCTGCCGTCACGACGCGGAGCAGTGGCTTCCGCCACGGTGCGAGCCTTTCAGCCTCCACTGCTGGGGACCCCGCAAAGGCTGCCGACTCGGCTTCGCGTCGTCGTCGTCGTCGTCGTCATCGTCATCATCATCATCATCATCATCATCATCATCATCATCATCATCATCATCATCAGCATCAGCATCATCATCATCATCATCATCACCATCATCAGCATCATCAGCATCATCAGCATCAGCATCATCATCATCATCACCATCATCATCATCATCATCATCATCATCATCATCATCACATCATCATCATCATCACCATCATCATCAACATCATCATCAACATCATCAACATCATCATCATCATCAGCATCAGCATCATCATCATCATCATCATCATCATCATCATCATCATCATCATCATCACCGCCCTTCGGCTTCGCGTGGATTTCGCGCCTCGGCTCTTGGGCCCCCAGGGGCCCACGGGCCCCTCAGAGGGCGCTCAGTCATGTACACCCGCGCAGGCGTCGCCGCGGCGTGTGGGCGGCGCGAAGCCGCCGTAATTGAAGTGGCCCATGGACGCATAAATTCGCCGGCCCAACGGGCCAGAGACGTGCTAAAATCTCTGGTCCGCGCGCGCGGGGCGGCTCTTGAGCTCTCCCAGACGAAAAATACCCCGACCAACCCCCGACCAACCGCCAAGCAGGGTCCCCGGCAGGTCCTGGGAGCTCGCAAAAAGGGCCCCGAGACGCCCTGGATACGGTCCAAGCGGGATCCGAATCGCTGAAATATTGTTCCAGGACGCTACAAAAGTGTGAACGGGGCCGGGAGGCCCGACCAACAGCTTCGCCGTAGCCGAAGCCCAGCTCCAGCTCTGTTGTGCCGTAGCAACGATAGTCCCAGTCGGAGGAGGTCGTCGCGGGAGCGACGGGCCATCTCAAGCGAATGATGTTTTCGGTCTCGATGGCAAGTAGTATGCCTCGCAATGAGGCACAATCACATGTTGGCGGCCGGCCGTTTGAGCTCAAGCGGCCACGGACAAACGCTCGCTACTCTCGCCCTTGTCCCAGCTCACTTTAGAGTAGAGTAACCATAACCCTCAGACAGCCCTACAGGCCGCCAAAAAGCTTCAAGAGAGTCTCAAGAGGCCCTCCAAAACGGTCCCAAGAAGCAAAATTTGCGCCATTCCCGTAGGAACATAACATTTTTCGCACATACCATGTTTGGTGTTCAACAGCGTCCAAGACTGCCCAAGCGCCCAAAGATGGCCCCAAGAGGGCCCAACAGGCCTATAAGCCCAAGAGAGCCTCAGGACAGCCCAAGAGAGCCCCAAGACGCCCCAAGAGGCGCCCAGGATCCCCCAAGACGGCCCCAAGAGAGGGAACTCCAAATGACATGTCGAGCTTTCCGCTCCAAGGACGCCTCCGAGACCGCGAGCGGGTTCCCCAAAAGCCTCCAAGAAGCTCACATGAAGCCCAAAACAGAACCCCAAGAACCCCAAACGGCCCCCAAGACGCCTCAAGAGGCTTCTAAAACTGCCTCCAAGAGGCTCCCCAGGCGCCTGCCGAGAGATCCAAACAACGCCGCATTGACAACGAGCTCTCACGCAAACGGAAGATATGAGGCTGTATGGTGCCGAACTGTGCCAAAGCAATCCTCAGAGGGTCCTCCGAGGCAATTGTGTTTGATGTTCCTTCGGCTTTTCATTCATTTCAGCGCTCTGACTCTCTTCGCTTCCCAACACTGACAGCCCAACGGGCCAGAGGCGTGCTAAGTCCTGTGGGCTCCCTGACGAAAAGTAGCCCGACCAACCCCCGACAAAATCCCAGGCAGAGGGTTCCCCTCCCGGTCCTGGGATAGCGCGCGGCGGAAAGTCGGAAAGGGCCCCGAGACGGCCCTGGGGACGGTCCCAAGAGACCTCCGAGGTCGCCGACTGAAAGATCGTTCCAAGACGCCAAACATAGCCCTCAGACAGCCCTAGAGGCCGCCAAGAAGCCCCACGAGAGTCTCAACGGGCCCTCCAAAACGGTCCCAAGAAGCAAAATTTGCGCCATTCCCGTAGGAAAACACAATGTGTCGCATATACCATGTTTGGTGTTCAACAGCGTCCAAGACTGCCCAAGCGCCCAAAGATCGCCCCAAGAGGGCCCAACAGGCCTCCAAGATAAGCCCAAGAGAGCCTCAGGACAGCCAAAAAGAGCCCCAAGACGCCCCAAGAGGCGCCCAGAATCCCCCAAGACGGCCCCAAGAGAGGGAACTCCAAATGACATGTCGAGCTTTCCGCTCCAAGGACGCCTCTGAGACCGCGAGCGGGTTCCCCAAAAGCCTCCAAGAAGCTCACAAGAAGCCCAAAACGGAACCCCAAGAACCTCCGAACGGCCCCCAAGACGCCTCAAGAGGCTCTTAAAACTGCCTCCAAGAGGCTCCCCAGGCGCCTGCCGAGAGATCCAAACAACGCCGCATTGACAACGAGCTCTCACGCAAACGGAAGATATGAGGCTGTATGGTGCCGAACTGTGCCAAAGCAATCCTCAGAGGGTCCTCCGAGGCAATTGTGTTTGATGTTCCTTCGGCTTTTCATTCATTTCAGCGCTCTGACTCTCTTCGCTTCCCAACACTGACAGCCCAACGGGCCAGAGGCGTGCTAAGTCCTGTGGGCTCCCTGACGAAAAGTAGCCCGACCAACCCCCGACAAAATCCCAGGCAGGTCCCCGGCAGGTCCTGGGAGCGCGCCGAAAGGGCCCCGAGACGCCCTGGGGACGGTCCAAGAGACCTCCGAGTCGCTGAAAGATCGTTCCAAGACGCCAAACATAGCCCTCAGACAGCCCTAGAGGCCGCCAAGAAGCCCCACGAGAGTCTCAACGGGCCCTCCAAAACGGTCCCAAGAAGCAAAATTTGCGCCATTCCCGGAGGAAAACACAATGTGTCGCATATACCATGTTTGGTGTTCAACAGCGTCCAAGACTGCCCAAGCGCCCAAAGATCGCCCCAAGAGGGCCCAACAGGCCTCCAAGATAAGCCCAAGAGAGCCTCAGGACAGCCAAAAAGAGCCCCAAGACGCCCCAAGAGGCGCCCAGGATCCCCCAAGACGGCCCCAAGAGAGGGAACTCCAAATGACATGTCGAGCTTTCCGCTCCAAGGACGCCCCCGAGACCGCGAGCGGGTTCCCCAAAAGCCTCCAAGAAGCTCACAAGAAGCCCAAAACGGAACCCCAAGAACCTCCGAACGGCCCCCAAGACGCCTCAAGAGGCTTCTAAAACTGCCTCCAAGAGGCTCCCCAGGCGCCTGCCGAGAGATCCAAACAACGCCGCATTGACAACGAGCTCTCACGCAAACGGAAGATATGAGGCTGTATGGTGCCGAACTTTGCCAAAGCAATCCTCAGAGGGTCCTCCGAGGCAAGTGTGTTTGATGTTCCTTCGGCTTTTCATTCATTTCAGCGCTCTGACTTTCCCTTCCCAACACTGACAGGCTGTCCCAACTGCCGTCCAAGAGATTTCAACAGCGCCGCATTATCACTGAGCCCTCGGGCAAACGGCAGAGATGAGGCTGCATGGTCCCGAACCCTGCCAAAGCACTCCCCAAAAGGGTCCCCTGAAATAATTTAGTTTGATGTGTCTTACGCTTCTCATTCATTTCAGCGTTCTCACTTTATCCGCGTCTCAACACTGACAGGCTGCCGCTGCGTGGTTCCAAACCCTGCCAAAACACTCCCCAGAGAGTCACCCGAAACAATATTGTTTGATTTTCCCTTCGCTTTTCATTCATTTCAGCGTTCTCACTTTCTCCACTTCTCAACACTGACAGGCTGCCGCAGCTGCCTCCAAGATCGTCCCAAGTCGGCCACAGACGCTCCCAGAGACTCCAGAACGGCCCCAAAGAGCATCGACCCTTGGCCACAAGAGGCCACAAGAAATCCTACAACTCTCCCAAAAAAAGGCTCCGAAGAGGCCGCCAAGAGGCTGCGAAGAAACGCACAAAAGCATCCATGAGCATCTTGCCCACAGCCCGAACGCGGTGGCGGGATGGGCCGACAGCCATGAGCTCAGTCTCCCAAGGAGGTCTTTCGCCCGTGTCATCGAATCCGCAGGCTCACACTGCAGACGACCACTCGGCCAGCCGACAGCGCTACGACAACATGGGCCGGAGGAATGAGCGAAGCGATTAAACAAACACACAGAAACCCCAGGATTCCCAATAGTTTCCGACATGTTCTGGACGTAGTTTCTCATTTTTTCTGGGGGTTCGACGATGAATTGTGTCTTTGTGTTTTTCCCCTCCTGAAATTCAAGGTGGAGGGTGGCGAATCAGCTCCCGCAGCTGCTTCTCCCCCCGCGCCAACCTGGCGCCTGGAAGCCCCAGGGTGTCGAGGAGAGCGCCAGTCGGCGGGGCAGAAACCAGCGGCATGCAGCAGATGTCACTAGAACCACGCGCGCGCTTCGCGCGCGCTTAGGTTCTGTCGAGTCACAGACCCAGGAATCGTTGTGAGAAGAAATTGGTGACGCGAAGCGTCGTGGGGGCGTCCTTGGACGTCTGGGGTCTCCTGGGGCCCCTTGAGGGGCCTCCTTGGGGCCTCCTGGTGGCCTCTTGGGGCGGAAGGCTCGAGCTTGCGGTTCGTGTTCCCCCTCTGGGCCCCCTCTTGGGCCCGTTTCGGGGCCCTCTTGGGCCATCTTGGGCACCTCTTGGGCCGTCTTGGGGCCCTCTTGGGCTGTCCTGGGGCCCTCTTGGAAGCTTCTTGGGCCGTCTTGGGGCGGTCTTGGGCGCCTCTTGGGCCGTCCTGTAACGTCGGAAAGCCCAAAAGGCAACTTTGTGAAAAATGTACGTTTTACGAAGGGAATGGGCAAATTTTTGCGTCTAGGGGCCCTCTTGGGGCGCATGTTGGAGGCTTCTTGGGGCGTCTTGGGGGCGTCCTTGGACGTCTGGGGTCTCCTGGGGTCTTGAGGGGCCTCCTGGGGGCCTCCTGGCGGCCTCTTGGGGCGGAAGGCTCGAGCTTGCGGTTCGTGGTCCCCCTCTGGCCCCCTCTTGGGCCCGTCTTGGGGCCCTCTTGGGCCATCTTGGGCGCCTCTTGGGCCGTCTTGGGGCCCTCTTGGGCTGTCCTGGGGCCCTCTGGGAAGCTTCTTGGGCCGTCTTGGGGCGGTCTTGGGCGCCTCTTGGCCCGTCCTGTAACGTCGGAAAGCCCAAAAAGGCGTACTTTGTTGAAAAATGTTACGTTTTTACGAAGGGAAGAGAGAATGGCGTCAAGTTTTTGCGTCTTTTGGCATGGGGACCTCTCTGGGACGCATGTTGGAGGCTTTTGGGGCGTCCTTTGGGGCTGTCCTTAGACGTTGGGGTCTTCCTGGGGCCTACCTGAGGGGCTCCTGGGCCTCCTGGTGGCCTCTTGGGGCGGAAGGCTCGAGTTTGCGGTTCGTGGTCCCCCTCTGGGCCCCCTCTTGGGCCCGTCTTGGGGCCCTCTTGGGCCATCTTGGGCGCCTCTTGGGCCGTCTTGGGGCCCTCTTGGGCTGTCCTGGGGCCCTCTTGGAAGCTTCTTGGGCCGTTTTGGGGCGGTCTTGGGAGCGCCTCTTGGGCCGTCCTTTGTGTACGTCGGGGAGAAGCCCAAAAAAAAAAAAAAAAATTAAAAAAATAAAAAAAAGTTCAAAAAAAAAAAAAAAAAAAAGACCAATTTGTCTGTTGTGAAAATTTGAAAAAATGTACGTTTTACGAAGGGAATGGGCCAATTGTTGCGTCTAGGGGCCCTCTTGGGACGCATGTTGGAGGCTTCTTGGGGCCTCTTGGGGGCGTCCTTGGACGTCTGGAGGCCATCTTCAGCATCTCGGAGCCCTCTTGGAGGCCTCTTGGAAGTTTCTTGGGCCGTCTTGGGCGCTCCAGGGGCCGTCTTGTCTGACCGGGGAGGCCTCCGGCAAGCCCCGACGAGCCTCCGGGCCCCCCGGAGCCCACATTTGTGGTCGAGGTCCCGGCCCCGGGCCCCCGGACCCGGTGCGCCGTTATATGTATATACCCCCGCCCCCTTTCCGCACCCCCCCTTTTCCAAGGGAGCTCACAGCGGAACCTGGCCTGGTGTTACGAACGCTCGCGCAGCGCAAGCTCTCGAAACCTACGACAAGCCATGTGGACGCACGTCGGCCGGAAAAAGTGGGTAGAATCGGTCGGGAGAGGTGGGTAGAAACATGAAGTAGGAAGGCATTGGAAATAGATTGAGTCCCCGCCCCCCCTGAAGAAGATGGACGAAGGAAAACCGCACGACACTTGCAGTAGGAGGGCGCCTAAAATTGATTGGGGCCCAAAAATGCACATGACTACGTTCTACGTTCACAACGACCGGCGTGTGCGTAATTTTTTCGCTCCTGATTTTCGTGCGACCCGGCTGTGCGCCCGCGCCGCCGTCGCCGCCGCGCCTGAGCGGCGCGAGCCAGCAGCTGTGGACGCCCGAGATGGGGGCGGACCAAAATTACACGATGCCCATGTTCGGCGGCGGGCGAGGGGGGCGGGCCGTCCGACAGGTTTTTGTGTGTTTTCGGGGACGGTTTTGACAATTTCTCCCCCCCCCCCAAAAAAAAGAACTGGGCTTCCGAGCCTGAGAAGGCTTGAACGGCTCGCCCTCTGACGCTTCACCCCTGGGTTGGCCACCGACATGTTGTCCAAAACCTACAATGGCCGCTGTTTGGCAGGCGGCCTTCTGCCCCAAATGGACAAAGCCCGCGGCGGCACCGACGGCGAACCCCTATTCGAAGTGGACAGGATCTGCTGTCAGTGTTCGCCCCCATTTGCCCCATGCCATGTTCGATCGCACCGAACCGCAAGGTAGAGGAACAAAAAAAGGCAAAATAATTACTCCGACGGTAGGACCCCGCATGAGAATATGTTCGGTTTGCCCTTAGCCCTTTCCTCCTCGCCCTGGCGGACACCCTCCTCTCGCCCTCTGCTCTGCCCTCCCTTTCCACCTTCTGCTAGTTATCCCCCTCCCCCTCCTCCTCCTCCTCCTTCTCCTCCTCCTCCTCCTCCTCCTCCTCCTCCTCCTCCTCCTCCTCCTCCTCCTCCTCCTCTCGCGCCACCTCCTCCTCCTCCTCCTCCTTCCTCCTCCTCATCCTCCTCCTCCTCCTCCTCCTCCTCTTCCTCCTCCTCCACTACCCCTTCCCCCCCTTCATCTTCCTCCTGCCTCTCCTCCATGTGCACCTCCCCTTCCCACTGTTCGGAGCAAGCAAATCGATGTTCCTCGGCGCCGTCGCCGCCTCGGCCAGCACGCGCGCATTCGCCGACGGATGGATCACAAAGCCTTTGGGGCAACCCAGCGGGCCATACCTTTGGAACAGCCCCGCGGGCCGCTGGGGCGCGGAGGCAGACCGTCGGGGCAACCCCGCGGGCCAGGCCGTTGGGACAACTCCGCGGGCCTCGAGGTAGGCGCGGCCGCGTCCGATGACCCGCTAGGGTTACCAACATGAAATGCTGGCCCCATAGGGAGGGGGTTGCCGCCTGAGACTTCCTCACAATCCACTCACAGACGAGGCTCCCGCTTGATACTCGTCCAAATTCAGGCCTGAGGAGCCCAAAACGAACGACAGTTACAAACTCCCGATGAGCTGCGGGCCCCATAGGGAGAGGGCTCCCGCCTGAGACTTCCTCGCAAGTCGCTCACACATGAGGCTCCCGTCTGAGACTTCCTCCATTCGTGCCTGAGGAACACAAAACAAACGACAGATGCAGGTGTCCGATGTCCCGCCCAGATTACCAAGGAGAAATGCGGGCACCACAGGGGGCTCCCGCCTGAGACTTCCTCTCAATTCACTCACAGACGAGGCTCCCGCCGGAGACTTTCTCCAAATTCAAACCTGGGGAGCCCAAAATTGACGACAGTTGCAGGGTTCCGATGACCCGCTCGGATTGCCGACATGAAATGCGGTCACCATAGGGAGGGTGCTCCCGCCTGAAACTTCTTCGAAATTCACTCACAGACCCGCTTAAGACATTTTTCAAATTCAGGCCTGAGGCGCTCCAAAGTGACGACAGTTGCACGCTTCCGATGACCCTTTCGGATTGCCCACATGAAATGCGGGCCCCAAAACGAGGGGCTCCCGCCTGAGACTTCCTCGTCATTCACTCACACACGAGGCTCCCGCCGGAGACCTCCTCAAAATTCAAGCCTGAGAAGCCCAAAATTGACGACTATTACAAGGTTCCGATGACCCGCGCGGATTGCCAACGAGAAATGCGGGCCCCATACGGAGGGAGGTCCCGCCTGAGATTTCTTCGCAGTTCACCCACAGACGAGGCTCCCGCCGGAGACTTCCTCCAAAGTCAGGCCTGAAGAGCCCAGAAGGGACGACGGTTGCAGGGTTCCGATGGTCCGCTCGGATTACCAAGGAGAAATGCGGGCCCCACAGGGGGCTCCCGCCTGAGACTTCCTCGCAATTCACTCGCAAACGAGGCTCCCGCTTGGGTGGGTAGGTGGGTAAGTGAGTGAGCGGGAGAGTGAGTGAGCGAGTGATGATGATGAGTGTGTAAATGAGTGAATGTGCGAATGATGACAACGATGGTGATGATAGTGTGCGTGCGTGGTTGAATAGGTTAGTGTGAGGGATCATGGTGTGTGTGTGTGAGTGATTGAGAGTGTGCGAAGGGAGAAGAGAGAGAGAGAGAGAGAGAGAGAAAGAAAGAACAAACAAAGGGGGGAGGAGGAGGAGGAGGAGGAGGAGGAGGAGGAGGAGGAGGAGGAGGAGGAGGAGAGATCCTGCGCGGAGGGTGTGCAGAGAAAACAAGAAACCCACTTTGTATGTGGGGAATAATTTCTTGGAGTTCCGCGCGGAATTCTTGGATTGGCGCTGGACTCCCATGCCTGACGCACAGAGCGCGCCAGGAGCGGCGCCAGAGGCGCCGCCAGGGAAGCCCGCGTCGATCCACGGAATCCGCGCGAATCCCCGAGAAGTCACGTTGATGCAGTTGCTCTGTTTTCCGAGAGGAGGACGCTGTCGAGGCGGAGGAGAGCCCGGCTGTGCTAAACAGCCAGTGGTCGAATGGCAAGCCTGCTGGCCAGGCGCTGGACCAGCAGCCGCTGCAGCTGCGGTCCGAGTCATTGAGGGGCCCGCCAGGGTGTCCCTCGATTGGTGGGGCACGGAAACAAAATTAAAAATAGCACCCCGCAAACTCTGGCACTAGGAAGAAAAAACTTCATAAACATACACTTTCGGAACTCCGCGCAGAGTTCTTGCATCGGCACTGGACGTCCCTTCCTGGCGCGCCAAGCACGCCACGGGCAGCGGCACCGGAGGCGCCGCCAGGGGACCCAACGACGACGCGAGAAACCCGCACGAAGCTCCAGAAGTTTATGATAATGCAGTTCTGTCTGCCTCGAGGCACCCCGATACGCCTCCGGTGAACTAAGGATCAAGCCCTTTCGGAATAGGGGGAGTTCCTTAATCCATCGGGGGATCCGCTGTGAACCATGTTCCGATCGGTCCTATCGGGGATACAAGGTCCAGCCGACGTGGGGTGCTGGGGGGGGCTCGGAACAAAAAAAAAAACCGTGCAAAAGGGATGTAGTCCAGCTGGTCGGCCAGCTGAACTTTGCGGCGGGTCTCACAACGCCGCCGAAGCCTCCGTCCGAGGTCAGGCGTTCGAGAACTCGTGCTGGAGAGGCAACCAACCACTTGAAGCGGGCGGACAGCTAGGTGAAATACTGCTGGTGATTGGAGGCGGCAGGGGGGTCTGACTGAGCTGGAGAAGCTCCGAGAAAATCGGTCAAGAGGGGGCGATGAAGGCAAATCCCACCAGCCCTCTGGGCGTAGGTGGTCTAGAACAGATCCTCTTCCACCCCTCCCTCTTCCCCCTTGGGGAGGGGTTTACCCCTCCCCCTACCCCCTCCCCTGGACCTGGACGGGGGGGGCCGCGGGTAGTTAGAGCGTCCAAGATGGCCCCAGACGGCTCCAAGAGCGCCTCAGAGAACCCAAGATGAGCTCCAAGATGGCTCAAGATAGCGCAAGATCGCTCACGATGGCTCCTTAAGATGGTTCAAAGAAGGCCCCCAAAAAGACGGCCCTCAAGGAGAACTCCAAGTGGCCAAACGCTCCCAAGGAGGCCCCGAAGAGGCCAAAATCGTTCCCCAAGCAAAGGAAAATCAATTGATTTTTGCTTTTTCTCGCCTTTTCGCTTTCCGATGGCTATCGAGGCCTGGACTCGATGGCTCCAAGATGGCCCTAAGAGGGCCCAAGAGGGCCCCAAAAAGAGCCCCAAGACGGCCCCAAGAGCGCCCAAGAGCACTCCAAGAGCGTTCCAAGAGGGGTCCAAGAGGCGATTTTAGGGGCTTCCGAGGGGGGGCGCTAATTGAACCCCCCCTCTTGTGTGATCGACTCCCTCCAAGATGGCCCCAAAAGCGCCCCGAAGGCTCCCCAGAGCGCCTCAAGAGGGTCCCAAGAGGCGCCCAAGATGCCCCAAGGCGCCCAAAAAGCCCTCCAAGAGGCCCTCAAAAGACCCCCAAGAAGCTCCTTCCCCTCCTCCTCCTCCTCCTCCGATTCTTCCTCCTTCTCCGTCCTCCTCCTCCTCCTCCTCTTCCCCCTCCTCCTCCGACGACGACGACGACGACGACTCCTCTTCCATCCTCCCCCTCTCGGGGTCTGTGACAGCTTCCCCCGCCCTTTGTTATTCTGCATGCTCCCCGACTTCCCTGATCACCTTAACTCCCCTGAGCATCGTTTCTGGATGGGCTGGTGGGGATACGCGAAGCGTCAACAATTCGCTGAAGATCAGTCCCCAGACCTCCAGCGGTCCAAACTGACAAATTTTCCGAGGCGCGTCAAGCCGTGGCGACGAGGGGCCCCCTTTCTCAGAGGCTTGGAGCTGGGCACCAACGCCAGCGCAGGGGGTTGCCTCCACAGGGGGAAGAGGATCCTGGATTTCGGTGTTGGTAGTAATAGTTCGGTCACCTTGAAGCCAGAATATTGCCACCATCACCGAGATAGGCGACTTTCTCCCTCCTGTCTGCTGGGCGGAACCAATCCTGTCGTGGGCGAAAAATAGATCCGTATCCGCAGCCTCGCGGGCCAGGCCCCTGGGCCACGACCCTGCGGACATGGGGCGTTCTTTCGCCAATGCTCCGCGCGGAACGAAACCGTGCGACCGCGCTTCCGCGGGATGGCGCCCCGGAACCAAGACCGCGAGGGCGTGGATACGGAACTCGTGATCCTGGGCCACCTCAGCCCCCAGGAGAGCCCAGGATCGAACCCGTGCCGAATCGGTGATCGACGTGAATCGGATCGGCGGACATCGTCAGCCAAGTCGGGAGAAGCCGCATCGATGGAAATCGGCAGGCCAGTGAGGCCTCCCTAGAGAAACCAGAGTCCGAGCGGGAACCCGAAGTCGAAACGAATCGGAACCCGAATCGAGCGAGATCGAAGCGAAGCGAGTCGGAGTCGAAGCGAGCCCTGGCCCCCCCGCGGGCTCCAAGCTGGTGACGCCCACTGGCACGACTGCTCGCCTGCGTCAGGAGGCACGGCTGGTCGGAGGTCCACCTCGCCCACGGCGCACGCCCACGCACGGCCCGTCGTCTCCCCGTGCCGGTGCTGCTCTGCGCCCTGAAGGGGGGGCGCTGCTGCACCAGCGAGAGCTCCATGCAGGCCTCGTCGGACGAGTGGGAGCAGGGTGGCTGTACACGGGGCAGGTGGCGGTGAGGGCAAAGGTCTGGAAGCCGGTGGACCTCCAATCGTGGAGTGGCCATGGATAGCATCACCGCCCTCATTGGGTAAGGAGCCCTCCAGGGTCTGAAGCCTCCGGGGCATCTTCCTTCACGAGCGCCCCCACCGCCGAGGAACAAGAAGCGGCAAAAGCAGAATCTCTCGGAGCTCAGCGCGGATTTCTTGGATCGGCGCTGGAAGCGCCGCCAGGGGAGCCCAACACCGATCCAAACAATCCGCGCGGAGCTCCCCGAAATTGCGTCTCTGCCGAACTTGCTCTTTGATGGGAGGAGATCGCCTGCCTGACAAAGGTGCACGTCGAGCACAAGGATGCTGAGCCGCAGTGGCTCTCGAGCCAAGCGAGCGCGAAGGAGGAGGGCGGGAGGGGGGGGGGGCAGCAGGCAGCAGGAGGGACGGGCGAGAAAGACGCCACGGAGCGATTGGCTCAGAGTACGCTCCAGGACTGCCAGAGTGTACCTATGGCGGCCCTCGCTTCTTGAGCCAGAAGGCGGGACAATAGGACATCTCGAGAGACTCGGAAAACCTGGAGCATATCTCTGTCGTGACTCCCCCGAGAGAATTTGGACGCCCGAAATGGGCACGGAACAAATGCGTACAATGCCCGACAACACATGTTGTCCAAAACCGACAGCGGCCGCCGTTGAGTAGGCGGCTTCTGGTCCTCAAAGAACAACGCCCGCGGCGGCGCGGACGGCGAGCCCTGTTAAAAATGAGCAAGAACTGCTGCTGGGCATCGTGCCCAGTCTTTGCGTACCCGCTCCCCCTGTGGCTCGGGGGCGCCCTGTCGGGGGGGGCTCGCAAATCGTGGCCCGAGGCACGCGGGCGGCACGGCCCGAGCTGCTCAACTGGTGCACCGCCGCGCACCTGGCGTGAGGGACTTGAGGAGCCACCACAGTGAGGCCTGGAGAACGTGGGGGGGGTCGACGTTCGGGAGACAATCGGGCGTGGGGGGCGAGCCCAGGGGGGGGAGTGAGAGAGGGGGCCTTCTCAGAAAGGTCGGACGGACGCAGGCCTTCTGGAAAGTTCTCTGGGCCTTCCCCGAAGACACACACACACACACAAACAAAAAAACAAACAACAAAAACGTCGCCGAAGGCCGGGGGGGGGGGGGCGGGGGAGCCCCGCCGCCTTCTGAGAAGGCCTGTCCCTCTCAATTCCCCCCGTCCCCCCCCTGGGTGCGCCACCGAGCGTTGAAACAAACAGGCAGGCCATGAGGCCCCGCTTGGAACCCAAACAGCTCCCAAGATGCCCACGAGTCCTGGGAGAGCGCCCAAGAAGTCCACGACGCCTCAGCCGTGGACTCGCCGCCTCTTCTGGGGGTCGGCGGAATGGCGCAAGCCTCTTGCAGAAGGAGAGGGGCCATGCGGCCACGGCCACGATTCCCTGATGGAAGCGCGCATCCTTTTTCAGCGCCGCCGCTTGCAGTACTCCCTGTAATGTTTCTGTGGTATTCCCACCGTTCATGGGGAACTGCACTTCGAGTCAGGAAGTTGGTTCCAGTGTTGGCGAAGAGTTTTCTCCCTACACGCGCTCTTGCAGACTGCTCTGAGCATCCAGATGTACACATCGGCTGCAACTTGTGCCTGTGCACCCATTGCGGGGTGAGCGTGTCCGTGCGGGATTTCGGGCCTCGCGCCGTCATCGGGCCAGCGTCGGAGACGAGTTGCTCTACAAAAGAATTGTAACTGCCAAATCTTCAACTTCGCCAACACATGTTGGCATAAAACTCCACGCACCAGATCCCCGCATCGCACTTGCCGTAGGCCCCGTACACCATGCCTGACAATTGCTCTTATCGTAACGCCCCCCCGAAGGCTTCGACTTGTCCCTAGTGGTTCGACTCTGCTTTGCGCAGCCTGTGCTTAATCGCTGCCGCAATCTCGGCCTTGGCTCTGAAACGAGCGGCAAAAAAACAGGATGAAGGTGCTTCAAGGGCTCCCAACTTCGCGCTTCGCGCTGCGCGAAGCGCGGAGTGCGAATAACGTCGCGCTCTCGCGCCGCCTCCCAGGGGGGAAAAGGAAGAGGAGAAATCGGAGCCGAACCGCGAAGCGCGAGTAACTTCGCGCCCTCGAGGGCGCCCTTGGTGCTTTGATCTCCACTTTTCAATGAGAGATCTGGACGCCACGGACTCCAAGGAAGACTCTTTCCAAGAAAACTCGATCATCTCCAGCGCTTCGGTAAGCCCCCGAACCATGATTTGGAACTGGCCCACGCTGGCCGCCAGGATCATGAAGCTGCCGGCCCAGATGAAGTGAGTGAACGAATCATCTTCGCCGCCAAACGAAAACCCAAACTGTCTGGCGCGCAACGTGCGCAGAAAAGGTGTGAAGAAGAGGCTCCTCCATCCCTGCCGTACCCCGAGGCCGGTCGAAAGTGCGGGCCAGGCGTTGAGGTTTCTTCACCATTTATGATCCTGAAGCTTCAAATTTTGCAAGCAACTCACCGATGGGGGGCGGCCCGTTTGCAAAATGTGGCTCTCGCGAGCTTCACGGATGGAGGGCGGCCCGTTTTCAAAATGTGGCTCTCGCCTTAGCGTCGCGCACATTCGTCGCAAGAGTTTTTAGAGCTTCACGGATGGAGGCGGTTCTCGCCTGAGCGCCCCGCACATTCGTCTTAAAAGGTGCAAGAGCTGCAAGGATGGAGGGCGGCTCGTTTTCAAACTGTTGTTCTCGCCTTAGCGCCGCGCACATCCGTCTCAAAAAGGTGCAAGAGCGTCTCGAGTGGAGGGCGGCCCGGTTTCAAAGTGTGGCTCTCGCATTAGCTCCGCGCACAGTCGTCTGAAGAGTTTGCAAAAGCGTCATGGGTGGAGGTCGGTTCGTTTTCAACATGTGGTTCTCGCCTTAGCCCCGCGCACATTCGCCTGGAGAGTTTGCAAGAGCTTCAAGGATGGATGGCGGTTCCGTTTCAAAATGTGGTACTTTCCTCGACGCCGCGCACATTCGTCTTAAAAGCTTGCAGAAATTGTACGGGCGGGGAGCGGCCCGTTTTCAAAATGTGGCTCTCGCCTTCGCGCCGCGGGCATTCGTTTTGAGAGTTCGCAAGAGTTTCACTGACTGAGGACGGCTCCTTTTCGACATGTGGCTCTCGCCTTAGCGCCGCGCACATTCGTCTTAAGAGTTTGCAGCAACTTGAAGGATTATCATGGTTAACGTCTCAGCAATGGTGTGTTGGCACGATGTCGGAACGTCAGGGCGCAACAGTCACATTAATTCGCGATGATGAAGCCCCAGGAATGGTGTTCTGGCACGATCCAGGACTGTCAAAACGCAAGAGTAACGGTGATTTGCGGCGTTAATGTTCCAGGAATGGCGTTCTGGCACAGTTCTGGATAGTCAAGCGATTATCTTCTAACGGGGCATTTCCCCTGGTGCAAATGAAGACGTGTAGGGGCCTATGAAGAGGGAACTTGGAGGGAGGGTCTGTTGCAATATCGTCCAGGAGTCTTGGGTTTATACTGGATCTCCTCCTCCTCCTCCTCCTCCTCCCAGTCCGCCGCCGCCTCCGTCAGACGCCGTCCTCCGAATGGTGCGGCTGCCTGCCGGCTCCGTCCGCCGCTCCGCCTCTTCCTCTCCTGGTTCTGTCCTCCGCCCCTCTCTCCTCCGCCGCCTCCTATCCTTCCTCCTCACTCCTCCTCCTCCTCCTCCTCCTCCTCCTTCCTCCCTCCCCTCCCCCCTCCCCCCTCCCCGCGCCCACTTCCCCCTCCCCTCCTCTCCCTCCTCCTCCTCCTCCTCCTCCTCCTCCTCCTCCTCCTCCTCCTCATCCTCCTCCTTCGCACTGCGCTCCCGGCAACGACCTCCCACAAGGGAGGGAGAAAAGGCAGGCAGCAAGGGGGGCCTTAGCCCCCGCTCGGCGCGCCCAGCCCGGCCACGTCCGCAAAGCCCAGGCCGAGGTGCCGGCTGGCCGTGGCGAGGGCGACCTCGGCGTCGACGGCCTCCACCGGCGTGGTGATGCCTCGGGAGCAGGGCGGCGAAGGGCGGGCCGGGCCAGGCAGGGGAGGGAGGGAGGGAGGGTAGAGCCGGCTGGGGGGCCGAGGTGGCCCAGCCGTGGCGAGGGCGATCTCGGCGTCGACGGCCTCCACCGGCGTGGTGATGCCTCGGGAGCAGGTCGGGCGTTGGCAGAACTGGGTTTAGTGGAGCCTGGTTTAGTGATGTGTACTGGGGGACGGACGCCCCCCCCCCGCCCCCGTTCCACTGACCGGAACTGCCGTCACCCGAAGAATCACTAGCTACGGGAGACCCGGTTTAGTGACTCTGGCCAATTCAAAAGCTCCAGGGCCCTACCACTTACGGGGTCCCCTTACCCGGAGTCCTGGCTGTACCCGAGCAGAGCGGCGCAGGGCGGGCCAGGCCAGACAGGGGAGGGGGGGAGGGTGTGGGTTGGAGCCGGCTGGGGGGCTGAGGTGGCCCAGCACTGGCTTCGGCCAGCCCCCTCGTCGCCATTGCACGAAGAACTGGTGAGCTTCGACCCCGGGAGGGGTCAGGTGACCGACTTTGAGCAGACTTGCCCTCGCCCCCACCTCTTGACGATTTTCTCGGGTCCTATCCACCGCAGACCACCCAGCCGTTTCCAAGGAATGGGAGGATGCGTTCATCAACTTGTGTGCTGTACTGTGCTCGCGGTGCCTTGAAGCAGACAGGAGAAAAGAAATCTGCAGCAACCTAAACCTATGGCGGACTGCTCGGATCTCTCGCATCGGCGCTAGACCTCCTCTCCCTGCGCGCCATGGGCGACACCGGATGTGCCGCGAGTGGGTCCAGCGGGGGGCGCCGATGCGGAAGAAATCTGCGCGGACCTCAAACATTTGATGTTCGTGTCCGCTTTACGCTTTACCTTCTCACAACACAGTGGTCCAGAATCAAGCAGCTGGACGAGGAAGGAGAGAAAGAGGAAGGTGCGGGAGGATACAACTACGAGCTTGCGCCCCAGTCCGATCAGCACTGTCGCCGCATCGCCCGACGATCGCTGGTCAAAGGGATCCACCCAAAAGCTAAATACCACGCTGTTCGCGCCGCGGGCAGCTTGCACAGTGATCGACGGAACCAATGACCAATCCATCTGCCTCTCTTTCTCTCTCTCTCTCTCTGTCTCTCTCTCTCTCTCTCTCTCTCTCTCTCTCTCTCTCTCTTTCTCTATCGCAGCTCCTCCCTTATTCCCTCGCCCTACGTACGTTCGGTCATCAAGGCTGTACCGTGCCCTCCTTGTCATGGTCACGGAGCACGAAATATACAATGAAATGCACCCTCTTCCCACCCCAAGAGGCCCTTCTAGTCATTTGTCAGGAGCATGGGATGCAGGATCCAAGCCATTACCATGGCACTGTCAATGGACCCACACAAAATATACGATGTCATTTGACAGTGGGATATCTGGACCCACGCAAAATGATACAATAAAATGA